AGAAGATTTAAACATTGTTGTTAGAAATATTTTCTTTAAATATAAATTTTAGTTATATATTATTTTCATTCGTTGTGTTTAAATGAGAGAAAAAGAGAAGTTAAATACCAGATGTTCAATATACGTTTTGTTGTTGTTATGATTTTGTTAAATATTTATTTTTTCAGAGAAACATTTTTTTTTTCCTTCAGCAAACTATATACTTTTCTTTGTTAAATAACAATTTATTGTTGTGAAATAGGACAGTTTACTTCAAAATCAATCATAATAACTTCCGGTGACAAAAAAAAAAAGTAAAAGTGTCAATTTCTTTTATACAAATTTAGTATGATTGTAAACTTGTGTCAGAAAAATAAAGAAGAGATATGATACGAACAGTATCAGTAATACAAGAGATGTATTAAGGAAACATTCGAAAATGAGAAAAAAACTTGAATTAGTACGAACGATATTTCAGAGTGAAAAAGTTTTCTACACTACTATGTCTAAGATCGTTCTAAGAATCAATCATTTTTCTCATAATTTTCGATAGATTTTTTTTTATTTTTATTTTTAGTTAAGTGGAAGTCCTCGCGTCTTTTTTTTTTTTCTTGAGACTAAATATTTTAAGTTCTCCTTGACTGCGTAATAACAAAATGCATTTATCGGCAAATAGTACGAGAGAAAAATAAGAATTTATTAACATTTCAAGCTGTCTTTTTACAACCGATTTTTTTTTTTAGCTATTGGAAGAAAGCAGAAGAGAAAAAAAAGAATTGGTTGTTTTTTTATTTATCTTTTAATAACGCAGAGGTAGAATATTTTAGACATTCTTTTTGTTCTATTTTTTATTTTTCGTAATTTTTATTAATGAATCTTGAATATATGAGAGAAACGTAACTTTCTAGTACAATCACTTGTTTAGATATGTTTCTACTCAGGTTATAAGAGGCTCGCTTGAGCAAATTTTTTCCTGTACTTTGTCTAGTACTTTGCCCACTTTCACAAAAATTTTCTACTCGATACGTCCTTTCGTTGCAAAGTTATGGGATTCGAAATTTGAAAAAACTTAATTTTCTGATGACTCATCATCTGAAAACTGAATTTTTGATTATATAAAAAGATATAAAAAGCAAAGGAAAGCAGCGCATCCTGTAGAGAATTGAATTGTGAATCTAAGCATATGATTAGTGTTCAACTTTGTTTACTTTTTTTTGTTGTTCTTTAGATATAATCATTTTATAAGCATCTTTTCCGTTTTTTGTAGACCGACCTTCTCTTACAGTTTTTCCCAAAAGTCCGCCACTGAAGAAATTTTCGGAGTGGCTAAATTGTAGATCAGACGTCAATCTACAACTCTATTGAAAAAAAAAATCCAGTTTGCATGATTTGGTAGCGATAAAAATAGCTTTCTTTCTTGCGGAAGTCAATTTCCGCTCTAAATGTATACTGGCTTTTTGCAACTTGTTTTGCTCAGAACTAATGAAGCATGCATTCGTTCTAGCTGAAACTTCTACACTAGATAGAGCATCAAAAGTTGTACTAGCAAAAGTAATTTCAGATCGAATCCTCATTTTGTTCCTTACTATTTTTACATTATAGGGGAAAATGTAGACCAACCTTTTTTTCGTGAGATTTTTGGTCAAAGCTAAACGAAAGCCATCAATACCGTACATCAGTCGACTCCTCAGACTGCGGCGAGTTTGACTACCTAATTTTTGGAGCTCTAAAATCTATAGTCTTTGCTAAAATAATGGATAATTCTGAAAGTAGAATCACATGACGAAATTCGGACTTTTTAGATTTTAACACTAAAGAATGAAAAAACTTTTCTGCGGTTTTTCGGCTTGACGCATTTGCTCATAGTCCCACTGTACTGCTCGAATCATTCTCTGTCGAACGATGTAGAATACATCTATTTCAACCCTTTTTCTAGCAAAATCCTGCCAAAAATTCTCTATGGCAAAAAACTGGAAATTGTCTCCCTTCTAACTTAGCTAGTATTAGTCTGGCAGTTGGGAAATTTTTATAGGATACTCGGCAAAGACAGGGGAACAAAACGTACCATTCAAATTTTTTTAATGAACACTTTCATTTTTTTGTTATTGATTGTACCAGAAAGTTACGTTTCTCTCATATATATATATATATATAGAGAGAGAGAGAGAGAAAGAGAGAGATGTTGTCGATTGTCTAAATGTTAATAGACGTAGCATGAATAAGTATTTGTGAAAGTGGAAAAAAGGATAAAAAAAAAGAAGAAAATATTTCATTTAATTAAATGAGTTCTGTTACTAGATTATTGTTGTTATTAGTAAACTAAAACACCTTTAAAATCCGGCACACGCCATTAATCTATTATTTTATATACAATAGAAAAATGAAGAGATAGTCAATTTTCCAAATTTTAGATATATTTGTTAGACATAACTAATCGAATGTAAATGATACAATATGGTGTGTCTGTATGTGTGAAAAGAGAATTATTTGTCTCTCTACTCTTGTAGTCATAGTAGTTTTTAGAATTACAAGAAAGAAGAGGATAAAAGTCTAAAGATAATTTTGGGCAGAACATTATTAAAATATTTTTTTCTTGTCAATTACTTAATTTCTTTGAGAATATGATTCTTTATTGTAATGATGAAATAACATTACAAAATGTATGACATAGAGCTAAGAAGATGATTTTCTGTAAATCTATAGTGTTATTTACTCTTTTTTTTCTTCTTCTTCTTTTCTAGCTATGTAGTCAATGATACAGATTGTATATAGAATTATTATTATTTTTTTTTTCCTATTTACAAGATACTATTAGCTTGCTGACAAGTACCATTTGTCCAAAATATATATATATATGTACAGTTTGTTTTTTTCCTACTCATTGTCATAAAACAATAAGAAAGATGTTGATTAACAGAAGAACTAGTAGAAAAAACATTGTTACACGTTTCGAATTCTATAACGAGTTTTTATTTTGTACACATTTAGTAACAATCTTTTTCCTGAAAAAAAAGAAATCCATTATATATTGTGTTATCAGACGTTATTTTTAATAAAAATAACAGCTTTAAATAAACTGTATTAAGCTTGTTTAACTTGTGACCTCGATCAACATTCATCTTTATACTACCCCATGTCGATCTTACACATTATTTTTTCCTTTTCTATCTAATTTTTCATTTACTCATTCATTCATTCTGTTCTTTTACCACAAGTTTGTCGTAATCATTAGAAATTCATTGTCCTAACGTTGGGTACAATTATTATTTTACTATTATTATTTTTTTTTTTTCTCCTGTTAAAAAAATATCATCTTTTTTTGTTTGTGTCGTTTGTGGAAAAAGAGAGAACTGAAAAAAAAAACCTTGATAAAAATGAGAGAACTCTTTAGAAATAGAAATAGAAATAATAATATCGACATAAAACACATGACAATATGGACGATTATGCAGTGTGTATGTGTTGTGTGTCGACATATCGACATGTAAGGATAGAGGAAGAAGAATCAAAAGTTTCTAGGGAAAACATATAGATGTCTAGAAAACGATTCCTAAAAGAAAAAGAAAGAAAAACATTTCTTTTTCTTTTCCACATTGTGTGTATGTGTCGATTGTATCTTGTGTTGTTCAAAACAATAAAAAAAAAAAAAAAAAAAAATAATAATAATAATATTATCGAAGTATGTGTGCGTGGCTTCGTCTGTATATGTGATAAAATTTATAGTTTCTAAATAAATTAAAATCTTGCAACAGTTTGAAAAGAAAATCTTTATGAAATTTGTTTTAATGAGGATTCTCTCTCTATCAGCCGTATGAATTCCTTCTTTTTTTTTTTTTTTCTTCTTTAATTTTTCAATAAGATTCTTAATCATCGTTTGGCAAGAGTTCTATCTATCGAATAAATAGGAAAAAAAAAAGGAGGAAAAATATATTCTTAAACTATGTGGAAGTCTCTTTATTTATCTAACTTGATTTTATTAATATGTATACATAAAATTGTGGTTTCCATTTTAATTATGAGAAAATAATCTATCAAAAATTTCAATTTTCCCACTGTCTAGAATATTTGCCTACTCCCACATCCTAACTTCATATATACTTAATACTATCTTTAGAAATGTTTTTTATTTTTATTTTTATTTTTTATTTATCGAAAAACTGACAGATTTATATTGCTATTTTTTACGAAAAACTATATCATCAATAAGTAAGGTCAATTATCGTATCATTATATATTTTCTTTTTTTTTCTTTTTCATTGTTGAACTGTGTATGTATGTGTGTGACGTAGATAATACACTACAAGAAGAAAAAAGAATCGATATGGTATGCACACGAATTCACTCACCAAGAATGGTCATTACTACGAAAGCAAGAAAAAATATATATATATATAAAAGTAGTTGACTATTTCTTGCTGTTTGTGCGTCATTCAGTCTCTCTTATAGATTACATAAAATGATAAACACTTTTACCTTGTTGTTTATGTTGTATAACTAGAGCAGTTAAAGAAGTTTCTGCTGCTACTATTTTGTCTAATTTTTTACCCCGATACACATCGTAGAAATTGATAATTTTCTATTCTATTAATGGTTCGTTTAATATTCTTCACCATGATTATTCCTATACACTAAAAAAATGTGTTTTATTTTCTCAATTAAGATTAACAAAATTTCATGCTATTATGATTATTATTATTATTTTTTTTTTTTTTCTATTTCAGGTAATGCTTTAAAAACGTAAATTGTTATATTGGATTTAATCATGAATGGATTACGTCTTACTTTTTATCATTATCTCGAACATTTAGCTCCAATTAAACCTTCGTCTACGTTTGTTCCTATTACTAATTGTTATCTGTCGTACTGGCTATGAACTTTACTTTGATGTATACTTCTTAGGATAATTTTTTATTAATTTATTTTTATTAATCTCTCTCTCTCTCTCTCTTTCTCTCTGTCTCTCTTTCTCTTTACATATATATATATATATATTTATTACATCTCGTTAGTTTGAGCGAATAATGGCAAAAACAAAATCTAAAAAGTCGAAATCGACTGCAGCCGATTCGTTGCAACTAACAGCCGATGCACAAAAAGAATATAAAATTACCCTACAAGAATTAGAATTATTAATGCAAACGAGAGGACGTGAAGGAATGGAAATATTACAAAATGCACATGGAGGAATACAAGGAGTTGGAGAAAAGTTAAAAACAAATATTATTTCTGGTATGTCTGTCTATATTTGAATCATTTTTATTCTGTTAAAAATTATCAAATGAAATATTTAATTTCTCTTAGATATTTTCTGAAAATAACTGAATAGATTTATTTTTCTTCTTTTTTTTAGGTTTGAGCGGTGATCCAGATGACATAACAAAACGTGAACAAGCATTTGGTCGTAATGAAATTCCTCCAAAACCACCCAAAACATTTTTTCGTTTAATGTTTGAAGCAATTCAAGATGTAACATTAATTATTTTAATTATATGTGCCGTTATTTCATTTGGACTTTCATTTTATCATCCAGATTCAGATTCCTTTGAAGAAGATTCAAAACAAAGTAAGTCAGGTTATTTTATGTTCTAAAAGCATTGTTGATTCACACTAATAATTGCTGAGTATTTTGTCTATCTTCTTCTATTAATTAAGAATAATTAAAAATGATAAATTTTCCCATTTTTATGATTGATCTATCTAAATTTAATTAAAACTGAGGCGAGAATTTTGTAAAAAAAATCAAAGAATTTCGTCTTTAATCATATTTATAATATTAATGTGTTTTTACTTTTTTGAATATTTAGAAGAAGCAAATGTTGAATGGATTGAAGGTGCAGCAATTATTATCGCCGTCGTTGTTGTTGTATTAGTAACTGCATTTAACGATTGGACGAAAGAACGACAGTTTAGAGGATTACAATCAAAAATTGAATCAGATCAAACATTTAATGTACTGAGAAATAATGCCCCTGTACAACTACCAATTAAAGAAATTGTCGTCGGTGATATTTGTCAGGTCAAATATGGTACGTTTAATTCATCATTTAATAGACATTATAATCTAAAATTATTTACTATTTCTGTTTTTTTTCGTTATTATTTAGGTGATCTATTGCCGGCTGATGGTGTTGTTGTTCAATCGAATGATTTGAAAGTCGACGAATCATCATTAACAGGAGAATCAGATTTAATGAAAAAACATGAATCAAAAGATCCATTTTTATTATCCGGTAACAAGAATTTTTTTTAAATTTTAGCTAATTCAATAAGAACAAGATTTGTATTTATCTTGAAGATTAGAATAATGATACGTTGAGATAACTAGTGTGTTTTTACTAAAACAAAATAATTGAACAGAAAAAAATATGTCAGCGAGATATTTAGATTAATTTACTGAAAAAACGTATCCAAACAGACATTCTTATTCTTCTATTATTATTTATTTTGTAATCCTTTTGTCTGTCTTTGTATTTAGGTACACATATCATGGAAGGTAGTGGTAAAATGTTAGTATTAGCTGTTGGTGAACATAGTCAAACAGGAATAATCTTTAAATTATTGGGAGCAACGAAAGATGAGAGCGAGGAAAAGAAACCGGAGAAAAAGAAAAAAGATACAGAAGGTAAGAGTTTATTTTTCTAGAAAAGTGTTTATACATCATTTTTTTTCCAAAGAAAATTAGAAAAATGGAATTTTGTTTTTTATCCATCCGTTGTACTGCATTATATTATGCTTATATAATAACATTTTTTTTTCAGGATATACCATGCGATTCTTAAAAAAGTCAATAATTGTCCCAAATTTGATTTGAAGTAGATTTTCACTCTTCGAGAAAACCATTGTTAGAAATAAAACTAACTTTAGAAATTAGAACACAATACACACTGTTATGTCAAATTTTAAATGCATCATAATTTTTGTTTGCACATAGACACACAACACACATGTAACAAAACAAAATGTTCCAAAGCACTTGTTTTTTTACAGTGTAGATTCAGACTATTTCAAGTCTCACAAACTAACAAAAATCGATAATTTGAGTTACCTTTTCAATCATTAAGTCTGCGACTTCTCTGGAGATAGGCAAACCAACACCAAAACCAATTCGAAAATATAAGCGAATCAGTGTCGTGGCGAAGCAAAATAAAAGCAGATGTAGTGTAAGTTTTATATGCGTACGATAAAAGCGTTTAGAAGAATGTGACATTTTTCAAACTATGTGGTAGAATGAGCTTTCTCTTTAATGCTTGCTGCTATAATCTTCTGAATGTTGATTCTCGAATTTGTTCTCGAAAAATCGGGAGAAAACCTTTTGATTGGGCTAATGAAGTGAAATCAAAAAGCAGATTGGTATCGCTTATTGTCACGGATTTGAATCGAATGATATACCACATTCGTTTATTTGTAACCATAATTGTAGATGAGTCCTAAACGGCTACAAGAAAAGGTATTTTGTATTTGATATCTACTTTTCTCTTAGAAGTACTAACTGTATTTCTCAACAGATTCTTTGTAGAAATGGTAATGATTTTCAGGGTCTTATTGAAAATATAGGAAGATAAAAAAAAGATCTATCATTCGATTCATTTTCATGCCTACATTGTAAAAATGAATATTTTTTCTATAAAATATTTCAGATAAAAGTCCCACACGAGTTCAGTTTTGTCACCTTTTACTCACTCAAGCCAGAAAGTACAAAATTGAGATTTGTAGCAAAGAAATTGAAATTCAATTCTATTTATTGGCATAAAAGTCTTTTCAAATCTTTAGTCTCGGTCCAAAATACATGTTGTTTTTTTTAATTTGGTTATACCCAACTTACCATGCTCTGAAAGATTTGTAAAAAATAATCAATCAAATCGAGGAGAGAAATTCATTCTTAAACCATTTATTAATATTTCTCTTGCAGAGAAACTTATGGGTCGTTTATGGTTTACCCGAAGTTAAGGTGCTAGAGATTCAAAACGACAGCAAAAGTTCTTTTTCGTTTTCTTTGACTTGATTGGATAAAGCACATTGAGTTATCTAGGAAAAATGAATTAAAAATTATTAAAAGCCATTTTTGGATGAAAATTTTTTAAAATATTCATTTTTAAAAAAGAGGCAAAAATTCGTAAAATTTTCAAAACAAAAAACACTCTTATTTTAATATTCCAGAATTATTTATATATTCTACTTTAACATGCAGAATCGAGTATAAAAAACTAAATCGAACATTTTTAAAATCTAAAATGGTTTCAGAATTCGTTGAACATAATCCAAATCTTTCATATGTATTGTACCAGGATATTCCGTTAGATTTTGTCTCCTAAGAGTAAAAACAAAATTTGAGATTATTGCACAACAGTTTGAGAAATTTTGAGCGTTTCTGATAGTGAGAGAAACTGAATAAAGTTGATTATAGTTTTGGTTTATTGGAGAATATCCATGACTGAGTCATACAGAAGAACACAGAATGTATTCCATTCATAAAAAAATTACCATCATCTATCATATAGAAGTATGGTTATAGACAATGACATATCTCACTGTCTATAGTATGCACAACTTCTTTGTAAATTTTCAATTTCCTTATTTATTTAATTATATTTTATTTTTTGTTCTTATTAAGACAAGGATGCTGATTCAGCAGTTGTTGAACGTTTAGTTAAACAAGGTAAACAAAAACAAAAAATAATAATTACAGAAATGAATTAACAACTAAAATTAACTAACGTTTCTAATGCTTATCGTTCGTTTTATTAATTGCTCTCTGTGCTTATTTTTCTTTTTTTTCTCACTAAAGTAGACAATAATTACAACACTAAGAAAGCTCGCTTTTGTCAGCTAAATATTGCTAGATTTCAATTCAATGTGTAATTGTTTCACTAACATATTTTCATGCGTGAGTATGGTGATCGTACGCTTTGCTAATGCTGGGGATAGTAATTTAAAAGTTTAGCTGATATTCTCTTTTTTTGTTCTATCTCTTTATTCTAATTAACACTAGAACGCCCGTAGACGTATTTTGCCCGTTTTGTGATTTTTATCCTTAATAAAACAAATTGCATACAATTTATTTAAAAATAAATTATGTCATAACTTTTAATTTTTCCCACAAAAATTATTTTTTGCAGAATTTTTAATTCATTTTTTAATTCAGAACCATTTTTAAGTATAAAATTTTTAAAAAAAACAGTAACAGTCAAAATGACCGCTTTGGGCGTTCTAGGTCATGAAAATTTCCGGGCATTCTAAGTCATGGAAACTTCCGGGCGTTCTAGTGTTAATATGCTAGCACACAGTTAACATATAAAATATTTTATAGGAATCAAAATCACGTGACTTTCTCCTGTCTTTAGATACACTTGGTAATCATGAATTACAAGATGTAGTAGCTCAAACAGATGCAGAGCAACCTGACGAAGAGAGCGGATTTAAAGTTAAAGAAAGATCTATTTTACAAGCAAAATTAACCAAATTAGCCATACAAATTGGATATGCTGGTAGGTTGAAACGCAGTTTTCAGATCTTTGTCATATAAAATACAATGAATGAAATGCACATGACATTTATATTCCATAATCATAAGAGAGTATCATTATAAAAATTTGTACAAAATTGTTTTTTATTTATTTTAGGCATGACAATTGCCATATTAACCGTACTTGTATTATTTATTCGTTTTTCAATCGAAGAATTTGCCCAGAAACATCGAAAATGGGATAATAGATATTGGAATCGTTTTGTGAGATATTTCATTACGGGTATTACAGTGTTAGTCGTTGCCGTACCTGAAGGCTTACCGCTGGCTGTCACAATATCATTAGCCTACGCTGTCAAGGTATGTATTGTCTGTATCAAAAGCGAAAAAAAGTAGATATTAAGACAATTGAAGTATAAGTTTAGAAAACTTTGAGATACTACTAATCCTGTAAAAATATCTACTTTATAAATTGTAATCATCAAAGAGGAGTACAACTAATTGGAGTTATTTTTAGAAAATGATGCACGATAATAATTTGGTTAGACATCTGGATGCATGTGAAACAATGGGAAACGCTACAGCCATATGTTCAGATAAAACGGGAACATTGACAACAAATCGTATGACAGTTGTACAAGTATATGTGGGTGAAAACCCTTATAAAGAAGAAAGAGTTAAAAGTATTCCTTTACCAGATAAAACACGCGAAATTATTATAGAAGGCATTTCTGTCAACAGTGGCTATTCATCAGAATTGTTGGTACGTATAATTTTCTTTTGAATTGGACTCTGTATTTTCGAAAGATCGTAAGATATATCTATTAGTTGGAGAAGTCGCTTTAATTTTCTGATCGCTGCTGTTCTCATGATTTTTTAATCGTTTTTAGCCTCCATCGGAGAGAGATACATTACCAAAACAAGTTGGTAATAAAACTGAATGTGCTCTGCTGGGTTTTGTGCTCAACTGTGGTGGATCATATGATGCAATTCGAGCCCGCTATCCAGTAGAAAGTTTTGTGCATGTTTACACTTTTAACTCCGTGAGAAAAAATATGTCAACAGTTATACAACGAGATGATGGAACAATAAGAATGTATACCAAGGGAGCATCAGAAATTGTATTGAAAAAGTGAGTTTCGTCTTTCTCCGACTGTAAAAAGAAATTATTAGACGGAAAATAATAGATGCTAGTCATGAGGGATGAAAAAAAATTAGCGTGGAGTACAGTATAACAAATTAGCACAAATAAAGTCCAATTAACGTCGCATTTGTGAACAAAAGGAAGAACTGATTAGATTTGTTGCTATTTTTTGGAACTGTTTGTTACATACTTTAGATGTAAATATATTTTGAATCGTAATGGTGAACCAATACCATTTTCAACGGTTGACTATGATCGTCTTCTTCAAACGGTTATTGAACCAATGGCTTGTGATGGACTAAGAACAATCTGTGTTGCATTTAAAGATCACATACCAGGTAGGAAATTGTTATGTTTTACTCTTATTTATAATGAGTAAAATCTTGTTTCTCTATTTTAGGAAAATTACCTGATTGGGATAATGAAGTAAGTGTGGTGGATGGCTTAACGTGTATTTGCATTTGTGGAATCGAAGATCCAGTTAGACCAGAAGTAAGTCGAAAAGTGAATTTTGACATGAAACGAAATTTCTTCTCTCCTCTGTATTTAGTACAAGAGAGAAAAAGCAGCACCTAATGCTGAAAAGATGCTGTCAGGAGCTGAAAAGTGTTGTTGGGAGCTAAAAGATGCTGGCAGGTACTTAGGAACTGTTAAATCACCTAATGGTTGAGAATTGTTGTCCGGAGCTGAAAGATGCCAGTAAGAGGAGCCGAAAGATGCTATGGATGCTGTGATGAAAAAGAATGCATTTTCCTCCTTAATTTAGTATCACATTGTTATACTTGTCTTCTAGGTAACAGCAGCTATCGCTAAATGTAAAAATGCTGGTATAACTGTACGTATGGTTACGGGAGACAATGTGAATACAGCTCGATCAATAGCATTGAAATGTGGCATCATTACAGCCAAGGATAATTTCTTAGTTTTGGAAGGAAAAGAATTTAACAGAAGAATTAGACAAAAACAAGATGGAAAAGTATGTTTACTATTCCTGCCTGCCTGGTACTGTTTATCATCACAAATATGTTTATTATTTTTTTAGGTTGATCAAGCTCTATTTGATAAAGTGTGGCCCAATTTACGTGTATTAGCTCGATCGTCGCCACAAGATAAATATGTCCTTGTGAGCGGAATAATTGCATCAAAAATAAATCCATCACGAGAAGTTGTAGCCGTGACGGGAGATGGAACAAATGATGGACCAGCGTTGAAAAAAGCCGATGTTGGATTTGCTATGGTGTGTAAATAATTATTTCGTTTCACAAATCAAATGAGGATATCAAATCATGTTGTTTATACTATTTCAAATTTTTTAGGGTATTCAAGGTACAGATGTGGCAAAAGAAGCATCGGATATTATATTAGTCGATGATAATTTTAATTCCATTGTCAAAGCCGTTATGTGGGGACGAAATGTGTATGACTCGATAGCGAAATTTTTACAATTTCAATTAACTGTCAATGTTGTCGCCGTATTTTGTGCATTTATTGGTGCATGTATTGTTAAAGAATCTCCGTTAAGAGCCGTACAAATGTTATGGGTTAATTTAATTATGGACACATTAGCTTCTCTGGCATTAGCTACAGAAGTACCAACCGAAGATTTATTAACGAGAAAACCGTACGGTAGAACACGACCATTAATATCTCGAACAATGATGAAAAATATTCTTGGGCATGCTGTTTATCAATTGATTGTCATGTTATTTATACTTTTTGCCGGTATGTACACATTCCGCGATAAAAAAATAACTTTATATTGTGTAGATTTTTTTGTCCGATTCAAATGCATTTCTTTTTTTTTTATCGTCTAGGCCCGAGTATATTTGATATGGATGATGGTCGACCAGTCGATGGTGTTTATAAACCCTCGCAACATTTCACGATGATATTTAATGTTTTCGTACTAATGACATTATTCAATGAAATCAATTGTAGAAAAATTCATGGTGAAAAAAACGTATTTCGAGGATTCTTTACAAATCCAATATTTTATGGTATTTGGATAGTGACATTTGTCGTTCAAATTGTACTCGTTCAATTTGGATCAATTGCGTTCTCTTGTGTAGCATTAAGCTTAGATCAATGGATGTGGTGTTTCTTATTTGGAGTGACAGTACTGCTATGGAATCAAGTACGTATAATAGTGTAGTGAAAAGAATAGATTATAAAGTTTTTATTGTAGAAATAACTTTTACACAGCTAGTATGTATATTTAGATCGTTAATTTAATCCCTGTGACGCGTCATATGCCAAAATGGGGTGAAGGTGAAGTCTATGAGCAAAATATAGTTGGTGATCCAACGAGTTCACAAGATCAACGTGCAGCTGCGGCTAACTTAACCAAAGGACAGATATTGTGGTTAAGAGGAATAACGAGATTGCAAACACAGGTACGTTATATAAATTGTCACTTCAATGATGTAAAATTATTTACTATTTTCTAATCCCATGTTTGGGATGCGCTTAGCCTAGATCAGGGAATACTAAAAATGTAAAATTGATCATGGTTAATAATGATAGCTTGAGAAGATAATAATCAATAACTAACGGATACTATCCTACTTCCACGATCTAACGTATATAAATATGCTCAGACTGTTATCAACGAGCATGTTCAACGACAGTATTCATCCAATGTTTCTGTTTATCGGAATAATTTTTCAGGCGACGCGCGCGTTTATACTGGCTTTTTGTTCTCATTATTTTCTTATCTTACTTTGTGTTTTCATAGGCATTGTTAACTAAATCATTCTCTTCTGTTTTTTTTCTCTTAATGATCGTTGTTTCTATATGAGACTGACTGTAATTCTTTCTTGACGCTATGCTCTCCCATTTTTGTCGTAATCTTTTTTATACGTTGTACGTGTCACACTTACTGAGAGTACCACTTATCTATTTGAAAAATAGTCAGACTCTCAGTTTGTATTCGACTAATGAAACGAAAGATCTTGCAGATAATATATATCTTCTACTTCACGGTGTTGAGTTTCGTACGTGAAATAGAAGAACGAAAAAGTGAAGAGAAGTTACAGAGTAACTCCTAGTTGAATAATCCATTTTTCTATATGAGTAATTAGATATACTAATTTATGTTTTCCTCCTCACAAACGTTTTTAGATGAAAATGGGGGAGAGAATACTTCTCTTGATGTTCATACTTATTAATTGTATTTTGTTTGCTTCTTACAATGATTTTTGTATAAATGTATGATGAGATAATTCAAATACTGATTGCATTTAAGTTTTCTTATTTATATATTCGTTCTTGTTATCATTTTCGTTCAGGTGCAGGTTGTCAAAACCTTTCAAGAGCACGTTGCCAAATCGCCGTCTTCGCAATGGTAACATTTGACAAAATACACACATATCAATATTTTTTTGTTTGAATTTTCCCCTATCTTCCCTATCTTCCCCTATCCTCTAGTATTTGTCTGTATTTGTCGTGTATATGTGCTGCATTTGCCGTGTATCCACACTAATATCTAATCTTACCCACGCATACCCAAATCTTCTTCCTCAGAGTGTTTGGTATTTGTGGTTGCTTTTAAACTTTTTGTTTTGAGGTTTCACGTATAGCTATTATTTTGCACGAATTGGATCGCAGAGATTTATTTGGTTCTAAAAAGGGGCAAAGTTAACCTTTAAAGTTTCTTGTTTTATCTTGATTTTAAATCATTCACGTAATCGGAAGAGTGTCCTCATTCCCGAACTTGGACCTTGAAAAGAAGGAAGTAGCAGTATGACAGCAATACTGGAAACTGATCCATTTTAAATAAATTTTGTTTCACAACTGCCGTTCCTGACTTCATTGAGACAATCATAAATTGAGAGCTACAGAAGAAAAGCAACTGCCATAGACAAATAACGAGTTTAACAAAAATTTCGTAAAAATTTTTGATTCTGTCTTAATTTTAAAGAGTTTTACTCCTGTACAGTCTACTGATTGAACAAAAAGCAACTACATGCAACTTGTTTCACATGTTTACCATTAAAATGTAGTTTGTTGTAAAGTAGTTTCTACTATGATTATTTCAATTTTATAAGAAAATGTCATACTTTCAGTCAGTGACGCAGCTAGGATATTTCGACCATTCGGCTAACTCCCACCAAAATGAGAAAAATGACTGAGCCTCCATTCTCAAGTATGAGGAGAATACTGGACCCAAAACCCTTTAGAAAACATTTTTGGCTAACAAAATCAAAAAGTTTTATAAACCATTGGACCGTGACCCATTGGCCTCCTCGTAGTTGCACTGCTACTTCCAGTAACATGTGATCTGTCTAATATTTGTTCATCTATTTTGCCGTTGTCATAGTTATGAGAACTTCCTTACAGTAGTGGAAAATTATAGTTAACTTATGTATCACATAATCGTTCTCACAATCCTACATATAATCTACTTTTATAAAACAGTCAGGCCTCGAATTGAAAAGATTCACTAGTATAAAAACCTGCAAATCTAATATGAATGAGTGTGTTACAGTGTTTTGGTATGTTTTGCAATACTTATTACTTATTAAACAAGCGTGTAGAAAAAGAGGAAATGATGGTCATTGTTTGTTAATATCACGCTCAACAAAATATATAATTATTTTTATTTATATTGTATCAGACCATTTATTATTTTGGTGTTGTTTAAATGAGCTTGAATCTGCACATGACTATACATATCCCAATCATTCGTAGCTTTTTTGATTCGCTTAGTGTATGTTTACTTATTTATCTATTTATTATCAACGATGTTGTTAGAAAAGCTTTTTGTGCATGCAGTAGCCTCTTCTATAAACGTATTGAGTTTCATTTTGGTTCGGTATTTCATTCTTCATATGATCTAGTTTAGTATTTCATTTTTTTTCTCTATCTCTTTTCTTTCTTGTGTGTCTGTAATTATTTGTTATTGTGATATTTGTTTTTTTTTTTCTAAAAATTTTGCTCTCTATCACTTTTATTATTTTATTTACTTTCTCTTCCTCTAGCTTCGTGTGATAAAAGCCTTTCAAGATTCAATTGACCGTCTTCAACCTCATGAATTTATAACACATGATAAATTACGCGCAGCAACCGCTCCTCGATCATCCTCGTTCTATGGTGATGATCATCTGATAATAACCACAACCAAACCAAGATCAATAACAACAATGTAATCAATGACAAATGAGCATGAATATGCTAATGAAGATACAAACTTTCGAAAGAATGCATACACACATATACCTCCCTTGATAACTATAACTTATATCTATATGTGTACATAGTTATGCGCTAGTCCTTTTTTCTCATTTTTTTTGCATTTAGTGTACGCGCACATGATAGAGAAACCTCTTGTCATATATATACACACATCCACATCATATTGTTGTTACTGTTACCGCTATGAGATAAGGAATAATCCGTTAGAGGATGAGCATGACGATTGTCATCAACTTTTATTTGTTTCGTTCTGCAACAGTGTGATATTTGTTTGTTTATTTATTTTTGTTTCTTCACATTAGGATTATTTTTTATTTCTGTACCTTTTTTTTACCCAATTTATCCCAAACATATACACAGAATGGAGAAAAAAAAGAGAATGAGTACTACTTTAATATACAACGGTGCTAATTGATAAATTATTTGTTTATTTTTCTATAAAATAGACTACGCACCGCATATATACTTCATGCGTTTCTTCTTTTTATTTTGGAATGTGCTAGTCGAGTTTTTACAACCAAAATTTGAGGAATGTGTTTTATCATACAGTTAAAAGAAAATTAAGGATTTAAGAGATATCTATTAAATCAGCATTTTATTGCTCACCGCTTCTTCACCAATTTTAATTTATTTTCCATATTGGAGAAAGTAGAGGAAAATCGATAAGAGATAAACACTACTATTTGTGTTACCAATGGTACTGAGACATTTTTGTCTGTTTTCCTACGTAGTTCGATGTTTACTGTGACGCATTCGAATTTTGTGAATTGAGAGACTTAATTGGGACAGGGAATATTGTTTCAAATAATGAAAGAAGTTTAAAAATAAAAGTAGTAAAAGAGATTAACGCTTCTAATGGAGCCAATCAAAGATAGTCGAATTGATTTTAACAGCTTGTTTACAGTGACTTAGAGAACAGACTAGTTTTTTGTGGCTGTTGTCGTCTACAATTTTTTTTTTTTTGTTACTTATAAGTAGAAAAAATAAAATAGAAAAAAATGAAGAGTTAAGTTAAATATCTGTTTCCGTTGCAAATCTCATCTCGGTTTTTAAAGCAGAAGATCTTGATTCTATTATTGCCTAACTAAAAACTCCTATCTAGCCAGTCGTTCAACAGTCATTCTTATTGAGTTTATATTTTATATATATACCAAATTTGAGTATGATTTTGAAATTTTGTGCGTCTGAATATTTCAAGACGATTTTTTTCTAAGTATTGAATAGAAACTATTTTCACTTCTGCAATTAGTAATCTATATATGACAAATACATATTTCACATTTTTTTTTTCTCATATCCTCTAGACTAGTTTATTAGACTACCTGTTAAATAATGAAATATTCTTTTAAAAACCACCCTCTACATATTTCAGCTCTCTCTCTTCTAACATTGCTTTTTTCTTCGTTTTCTTTTACTTTGTGTAATTTCAGTATTTTTTTTTTTTTTTTTGTTCAAAGAGTTTCGGATGATAAAACATTTAGGTTATAAACTCAAAAAAAAGTTTTTTTCTTTTCGTTGTGTTTGTGTGCGTTTACTATCAATGGTTGTTTATCTTTTTTTTTTTGTACAATTAATTGCGTTTCGTTTTTTTTTCTTTTTTTTTCCTTTCTTTTTCTGGCATTTGTGTAGAGAGAAATCAGAATAAAAAAATATATGAATGATAAGAAGAATCATATGTATCTGTTCTCTCAAAGCCAAAGAAGAAAAATTCAATGAATTCATTTACATATTTAAGAATGGTTTGTCATATATTTGTAATTATCATGGTAAGATTGTCTAAGAAAATCTATATTTCTCGATAAGATGTTTATTTTTCATTTTGTGATCTATTTTGTTTTATTTTTCTAAAAAAAAAAAAAAAAACATTCGCATGAATGAATTATTAATGATTTTATACATAGATTATAAAGCAGGTGACTATTTTTCTTTAATTTCAAAATACATGCATGCTCCCTCTTATAAATGTATTTTTTTCTCTTGTTCACACATGTATATTTATGACATATTCTTACTTTATGTGTTATATTATTTATAATGATATTGAATTGAAATCTATTTAAAACCTAAAGTAATTGATATTAATTACTTTTACTTATTTGCTATGTGCTTAAATTATTTGTGTATCTGTGCTTTATTTATCTGCTATCAAAAAATATATTGTGTCTAAAGTTGCTTGAAAAGTATATTTAAAAATTTTGAAATGAAATCAGTGATATAATAGTGATAATCTTATTATATATGATTATACAGTGTGGCATGATCTTTCTATACTGCTTTACTATTTTAACTTTAATTCATAGAGAATGTATTTATCCTTGTCAGAAAAATATTTATAGATGTTTAACATTAATAATCATTACGTATTAAGAAAAGCTCTATACTTTCCATAGGTGAATTTTGCTACTTAAAATACGTAATTTAATAACAATAAGAAACACCCATATAAACAATAGAGTCTAAAAACGATTAAATTTATATACTATTGTCAAATCTGTTAGAAAGTACTTAACACTGACTTCATCGTAAAAAATGAATTTTTTCATTCTCATTTTAAAATTCGCTACCTGATGAAAATTAATTAGCTAAAAAAGAAAGAAATTGTCAATCATTGTTTTATCATTGTATTTTACTTTTATTGTGATAGTTTCTTTAATCAATATCTACTGTTGTTGCATGTCTCTTATATTATTCGATTATATTTGATAAATTTGATCATTTTCTTATTTATTTAGATTGCTGTTGTTGACGCATTTTATCAGCCACCCATTCCTCAACATCCCATTTTGGCAATGATACCAAAGCTCAACAAAGCATTGTTACGACAGAGTAATGGTATATAAACAATTATTGTCCTACTTTTCTTTGTGGTTATTCTTTTTTTTTACAATATGACTATGACGAATTCTTAAGATAGAGTAGTAAAAAGAATAATATCTTTCGGACGTTCTGGACTGTAATCTACTGATAAATAGTGATTTTTTTGGTGTCTGGAAGAAGATAATGAGTCTTTCTTCTTTGATATAGATATATAAAATTTTCATCATTATTTTATCTAATCACTTTTTGTATTTTCTCGATCCACTATATAAGTCTATGTCTAATAAACTTTTTCCGTTTTTTTTTTTTATTTATAGAAGATAATATACTTTTTTCCTTTGTTTTGTGTCATTTTTTGCTTAGAGATTTTTGTTTGTTGGATTCTGAGATTCAGTGTTTTTGTTATACATTGAAATAAGTTAATACTCATCTGTATGTATTTCTCTTTCTCTCGTTTTTTTTTGTTAATGTTCTCTTTTTACGTGTAACGTGTGATATATAAAACAAAAAAACAATTTCAATTTCAGTGTTGTTGCTTACGCTAACTGAGAAAAGAAATAAACAACCAAATATCGGCTTAACATAACAAAGATAAGAATGAAGATCGCGAAAATGTTTCCTCATATCAGCATCAATAATTAATGAATATTTTTTACTGACGGGTACTTCTGCACAGCTCCATTCACTTTATACACAACTTTTATCTGGCAAAATCTCACTATGCCTGTCTTGTAGAGCTCTTCGAGTTGTGTGTAAATCCACCTTTTTTTCTCTTAGATATTATGTGAAACATGTCGAAAAAGTGATCAGAAAGTCTGAAGAAAAGGAACGCCTGAGTTTTCTTTTAAGCATTGATATTAAAACTTTTTTGACGGCACAATTGGATAAAACGTAAAAGGTTGTATATTATCAGCTGCAAATTAGATTTTAACCT